TTCTCCAATGTTTCAGACACAAATTCAGAGGAGTACATCATGTATTCGGCCAGTGATAAGAAATCTCTGTGGCCACCACAGACTCTCTCAATTTCCTCATAAATCTCTGTGTTCACCTTTTCTATTTTCTCCTTCAACTCTGGAGGTTCTGCGACAGATTATGGTTAAACTCCTGCATTATTTTATCAACTTTCTCCTTCAACTCTAAATGACTATGCACACAAAGATGTATTTTTCAGGTTACATGTGAAAAAAAATTAAATAAAATTATTAGATCTATAATCTCAATTATGTAACAGGTGCATTTTCATCAGTCATTAGGATGACGGTATCTGTAGTAGCTACATTCTCCACTCCCGAAAGTTGTTGAAAAGCATCCACACGTGCTTGGTACCTCGAGTACAAATGTGTTACATTGCATATGTCACTTTGTTCATGCCACATTCTAGAAACTGGTGGAATAGGATGATCTGGAGACAAATGAACCTACAAAACAAGAATCCATTCATATACGCATAGCATATAAAATTAACCAATGTTGCGTAAACAAATAAATTCATACCTGGACATAGTGATCATCGTCAACAAAACCAATGGCAATCTCATTTAGCTTGGTTTCGCTTGATTGAACTGAAAAAGGAAGAAATGTAAGGCATTGACGCATGCTTAGAAGGATTAAAACCACATTATAACGTGTGGCAATAATATGTCCCATATCAAGCATGGTCATCCAACAAAAGAATTGTGCAAATCCATCATCAAAATAATTTAGCGCTCGCTCAATCTCGTTGTATCGTTTATGTTCCCGAATACACTTCTTAAAAACAAAAGACATATCATGTAGTTGTTGCAACAAATCCTTGCATACCCTAAGCCATTCATTATGACCAAATCTCATTGCCATAGTTATGGCTCTATATCCACAGTTACCATCCAGAAGAACTTCAGTCTGGTGAGTGATATATTTCCTAATACCCTCAGGGAATTTCTCTATATGCATATATGTATCGAATGCTGATTGGTTTTCGCGAGGCTTATAGAGCTGAAAATAAAACAAAATATTAGTTATATGGTAATAACACATTGTAAGTTGTGAATTGATCACTATAGTCCATTACACATTCTGTTCCCACATTGTTGCCTTCAGTAGGGGCGTCACCTTGATTTTGTTCCTTCAATGGGAGTAAGATCAAAATAGCTTGGATATTTTGTTCCTTCAATGGGAGTAAGATCAAAATAGCTTGGATTAAATTTGTGGTTGGCAATAAGTTACTGAAAAAATAAATAAATTTCGGTTGGATGCCACTGAAACGCGGATAAAAGTTCGGTAGTACACCACTGAACTACGTTCCATCTTACGGTGGATCCCCACCGAATATTAAGTTTCTCACCGGTGAAATCCAACCGAAAAAGGTGCAAAGTTTCGGTGACATCCCACCGAAATTATCTGTCGCGTTCGGTACTGATGTGCTGAACACAACCAGCGACTGTTATGAAATATTAAACTTGCAAAACGCCAAAAAATAAACTCGTACCTCATTCGAAGCGTCTTTAACTTCAATCTCACCCTTCATGAATAAATACAATATATTTTTTCACCAGTATAAACTTATAAATCTTGGGTTTAGGGTTTAGGAACATGATAGTTTGAGAAAAAAATCAAACTAGGGTTGCAGGAACATATGTGGGGTGTAGTGAGCAATTTTAATTTTAATTTTAATTTTTTTGTCCTTAACGGTAATTGTGTACAAGGGTAAAATAGGTTATTTATATTTAAAATTAGTATGGGGTGTAAAGAGCAATTAATGGGGTGCCAATAAAATCACCCTTATATTAAATCAGATTCAACAACTGTCAATATTTTAAAATTTAAATACATGAACTTTTATTTTACTCGATTTAATTCCAACCCATGGTAATCTAGAGAGTTTCTCACTTCTCTCTCTTGTCCATCTCTGAAACTGAAAGGCAGCAAATGATTTGTTCTCTTCAATCTGATTTTCTTCTCTCGTCGTTGGTTACTTTTCTTTTGAGGGCTCTAATCGAGTTTCCTTTATAGAGCTTATCCCTATCTTTCATTCCCTTCTCTTCTAACCCTTTTTTTTTCTCTTTCTTTTTGTTTTTAATTTTTCTTTATGGGATCTCTTCAACGCAACCTACCATTTTCTTAAAATCTATTTTTTCTGCGAAGGTAACTCTCCCATATGGTTATTTCTTCCTTCGTCTCTTAACTAATTTCAACTTTTTGCCTGTAATTGGCAGAAATAATAAGTGTAATGTTCTAGGCTTCTTTCTTTTTTCCTTGTTCTTAATTTTTCTTCGAGCAATTTTTGTACAGTGATTGCAATATTATTTTTGGTTAACTTCGTGCAGAGGTTGGTTTAGGGTTTAGGATAAATTACATAGAGGGAAAAAATAGTATAAAGCTTGCTTCAATTTTGTAATTTCTGGAAAATTAAGTAAAACACAAAGCAAAGTTTAATTCAGAAGAGATTTGATGTTAGAAATTAACGGAATGAAATTGAGGAGATACTAATCTATAGAGCGAAAAGTATGCGCAGCAAAAAGGCAGTTTTATTGTCGAATTATAAGTTGTGAAATGCTTTAAGACGTTAGATCTAATTTAATATAATCGTGTGGTCAAGATGAATTTGATTCTTACAGGATGTCATTTTTAGGTCCTTAGGTGAGCCTCTTATTTTGCCTAGGCAAAATCCGATCCCACACAAACCGGCAACAATCACTTTTCCAACTCCAAACACTGAACTGGAGCAAAATTCATGTGAGTAGATCAAAAGCTGCAACAAAATCATGGCGTCTACGGTGGATTGCAGTCCTTGCTTTAAAAACACAATGAAAACCAAAGAAAAAAGCTAGGTCGACAACACCACACCGTAGCCACCCCAACGACAGCAAGACACATTCAAGAACAACAAAAGTTACCAAGGACCTACAATAGAAAACACACAAACAAACAGATCCAAATAGATCTGGGCAAGAGGACCCAAAATCTAAACGAATTTGGGGAGAGAAGGAGAGGGGGAGAAAATTAGGAAAGAAGAAAGGAAGGTGAGGAGAAAGATGGAAGATAGGGAAGCCACCCACCCGGCGGCTGCAGTGCAAGCTCACTTTAATTTTAAAAAAAGTTATTTGAATATTGAATTTTCGTCAATTTCTTTCCATTTTCTTGAGTTATGGTGAGCCTCATGCTGTTCATAAACGTGTCATCATTTGGTTGATGTCCTTTAATTTAATTTAATTTATTTTCTGGTCCGTTCATTGTCTATCTTTTTCTTGGCGCTTCTTATTCCATTCGCTCTCCTGAATTAAGGGACTTTGAATGCCGAACTGACCACTTACCAAATGAAGAATTGACGCGGCAACTTGCAAAACTCAAAGCTTCTAGAGTGATAAATTAATTAACCACAACAAGCAGTACCTAATGGCCAAATTCCCTGTTTGTCCATCTCGGCTATTGTCAACAACTTTTCAACTACCTATCGATCTGGAGAAATTCCCTCTTCTCGTCTTTTGACCATTTCATTGGCTTTTTTTAACATTTAGCTATGAAGAAAAAATAATTAGTCTCTTTCTAATAGAACTTTCCAAGTTTAATGACTTTTTTTTTCTTTCTAATATTATATTAGGAACGGTCTTGACATTGTGCAAGTGGTGTTACTGCACAAAATCCTCGATTTTAGAGGATTTTTTTTATGTGTATTATATATATATATATTATATATGTATTTACATAATTGTGACTCTCGTGAATTTGTTGCACTTCAAATTTCAATATAGGCCTCGTGTGGTCCAAAACAAGCATTGAACATATGACCAACTACACAAAAACCATACCACTAGACTGGACATATTTTCTTAAAAAACCTCTGTGTTCATTATATATAGGGTTCAATGGCCTTTCGAATCTCAAGGCCTAAGAAAAATTATACATGATTAATCAAATGAATTTACTTCACATTTATTGGATATTAGGACTTATATGTGTATGTGTTTCACATCAATAAACTAATAAGACTTGAACAATATGGATATACTTGATGTGTGGGGTTAAAAGAAGCATCAAACTAGCAGTGTCGGACCAGCCCGATCAATTTAGAGTCAACTCATTTAATAAACAAGTTGTACTGTCCCCCGTTTACTTATGAAAAACATCAAATCTGGCCCAAGCCCGCTGCTTTAGCCCATATGGAACCGGGCCGAGCTCATGCTGTACCACTAAACGAGTCGATATGGCTCATGCCACACTTGACTTATGTCTTGTTTTTTTTTAAACAACTTCATTTCAATCTTTTTTACAATTATGTACTAACAAGATTTATTATTTACTGAAAAAGGATGTCAATAACTTTATTTGAAGTATATTTAAATAAAAAAATGGCTTGATTATTGTTTGGTTTCAAAAATTGAAAATTGAAACTTGGAAAACAAAATCATTATTTATTTAGAAAGAAAATATTAAATTTAATAGAGAAAAGAAATAGAGAAAACAAAATAACGATCTTTGCTTGGCTGTTGATAACGAAGAGATTGCAGGTTCGAAGTCATCACCATAGGTTCCAACCAAAATAAACCCGGAGTGCCCACTATGTTAAAACTGCCCTAAAACTATTGATCACTTGTTTCACACTGTTTCACAGATGTCTCTTTGCCATGAACGTATGGAACTGTGTGACAACTTGACCTCCTTGGACGAGTAATGGCTCTGACCTCATTGGATGGCTGAGGCTCTTATCTACTGATGACTCTCCGCATGGTCTTGCCCATGCTTTGCATAGAGGTTGGAAAAAAATCATCATAGAAGGAGATTCAAGTTAATCATTGTGGTCCTGTTTGGTGAGTTGGACTGGATAGAATTTTTTCATTTAAAATGGACATGGGTACTGACCATTGTTTGGTGGGCTTAAAATGCATCATGGACTAGATGTAGTTATTGGACATTAGTCCCATAATAACACCGGCTCTAGAACCCATCGCTGGACATGGGTCTCGAAGCCAACCACGCCTCCTCATTCCTTGATTCGCAAGAACTTGCTCTGGGTTTTTTTGCTGCATTATATTCTCATCTCTCTTCTCCTCTCTCAGTTTGGCAAAGCTTGAGATATGATTTAAAGGAGGCCTTGTTCTTAAGATCTTATGAGGGAGCCTTGCGATTCTTGCTTGTTTGGGCTCTTGGGTGTTTGGTTGAGGAGATGGCGAGTGGAAAAGATTTTTTGGGGAAGTGTTTTGCGAAGGACTCGAGAAAGCTGTGGACGGTTGAGATGCTTCTGAGCCACCCCTTTGTTTTTGATTATGACACCGTTTTGGTGGAAGACAAGGAAGAGCTCTTTTGGTGGATCACCATCTCCAAGAAGCAATTTTCATTTCCCATATTGGGATTCAATGGCAGGTTATGAAATTTCACCAGGATTTGGGGATTTTTTTGGAAAGAATGATTTGAATTGCGGGTCTGATTGGTCATCGAGACAAAGTTCTGTTCCGGCGAGGAATCGGTTACGACAATTGGCCACAGAAAAGACACCCAATTGATCTTTCTTTGGAGTTTGGGTCATAGTCCTATGATTCAAAGATTTTTTTAGAATTGTATTCCTAATTATAATTTTTATAAATTTATTTGTATGTTTTTAAATTTTGCTATTTTTGTTCCAATCTTGCAATCTCAACTTAGTGTTTATTGCACCAAAAAATTGCTTAAAATCCAGTCATATCCCAACCAGTCCAGTCTAGTCTACCAAACGGGGCCTGACTGTGTTAAAAAGCATGCTACAGTCCCATGGTGTGTCTCTCTTCTAATCCAAGACATTTGGCAACTGAGTTCACTTTGTGAGTCTCTACAATTTCATCACTTCTTTAAGGAAGCTAACTTCACGGCAAACTCACTTTTGGGCATGGGTCATAAGCTTTCTACTTCGAAGTTGTGGAAGCCTAGGTTGCCATTGTCTTCTTCAAATGCTTTATTTTTCAACTTCTTTGGATTTGCGTGTCCAAGAGGTTTTGCTTTGTAATTTTAATTTTCGCATTAAAAAATATAAATATAATGATATTATGTATTATTTTACCATAAATATTTATAATTTAATAAATGGATTTTTTTTTGGGTGAATAATAAATGGACTTTAAACATACCAAAAATATGGAATATGTCATATCGGACCTTATTTAATCAGACCGTACTCGTGTCATGCTCAGACCAACTCGGTCCATTCGTTTCAAGGGAAAAAAAAATAATAATTAAAGTTGATAATCACGTCAACCTCCAAACCTTTTTGCGACGGTTTGTCAGTATGCAGAAAACGGTCCCAATACAAGGATTTCTCCTTTGTTGAAGGCCACGCAATAAAGAATTCTAAAATAATGTGAACAACTTCCAGCTGAAAACTACCTACCACCTCTTCCCCCCCACCGCTCTCTCTCTCTGCCCTTCTCCTTCACACACACAGATGAGATGACAGAGATGTGTTCAAATTCATGTGTGCCTCTCCAATTAAGAAAGAAAATTGAGAACCAAAATAAAAACGTTAAATACAAAAAGAAAAAAAAGAAAGAAAAAAACAGAGGACAGGCGTGATCTTAAAGAAAAATTGAATTTTAGAATTTAACGTCGTCCACCAACCTATCTAATTGATCTAATAAGCCTTCTGCCTCGAACAACTTCGTCACGTTTCGTCACCTTCTCTTCTTCTCACACTTTCCATCTAACCACCGATAGAATTTGCCTCTCTTGCTGCGAACTATAGCGCCTAGATTATTCCCAAATCCTAGGGTTTCTGTTCCCATTCTCAGAAACCCTAATTCTCGCTTTCCTCTCTCAAGGAATTCAGGTCTGTTTGCCTCTCCTTCCCACAAGTTTGAATATCTATCTGAATATATAGTATTGGAAAAAGATACCAAATTGTTGTATTTTTAGCTTTATCAAGAATGCTGCGCTTGGGTTTGGTTTTCTTGCCAACCAAACAGAGGGTCTTTGTTTTTGTTTTGTTTTAATTTCCTTTACTGTTTCGACATATAAGTTTTGAGTGATTGATGATGCTTAATTTTGGTTACTTCTATTGGTTTTGGACTTTTAATGCTTTGGTTTCTGCTTTGCATACAAGTTGTAGCTGAAATTAAACTTTTGTTTTGTGTTTGTTGGCTGATGATTATTTGGTTGCCAAGGAAAGGTAGGAAAATATCGATAGGTAGTTTGGGTGGAGTCAGTGTAATTCAATTGGTACACTATGGTTGTTTGCATTGCATTTGCCAACTGAACAATGGCCATAAGGGTGCTCTTCTTACCATTTGATTGCATTTGCCTTGGCCCGTTGTTCATTGACTGAAGAGTATAAATTAATGAAGTATAATGCTATAGAGTATCTGAAGTTTCGACGATTGATGAGTTACAGAAAATGAGAGGAAGAAATTACAAGAGTGATCTGCAGTAGGGTGTTGTTAATAGCCAAGAAAAACATGACTATATGATGAGTTTTTCTGAATTAGGATGTTTCTAGGAAGTGCCACAATATGAAAGGATACAGTGAAAGGCAAAACTATGAAATTTGAGATAAACTTGGTTGATCTCGAATTGCAATTTACTGTTTGACAGATCTAAGTCATAAGTTTTCTTGTCCTTGTTGAGACGTGACATGACTTGTGATTGGTGACTTAAATTAATCCTCATTTGAGCTAATTATGTGAGAATAGTGGTACCATGTTAAATTGTATGATTTAACAAACCTAAACTGAAATGAATGCCATTGATTATTTTCATGTTTTTTGCTGTTTTCTTCCCTTACCAGACATGATATTCTAGTTCTTAGAAAATATGGTGGAGCATTGAATTTTTGTTGTTTTCCTCAAATATTTAAAATTTATTTTGACAGCCATTTGCCATCTGTTAGGGTGATGAATTTATTCATGGGTGTATTGTTGGTCTCATGCTAGAAAAGTATGTTTGTAGGCAGCAGAGCATTTACTTCTGTTTTGTGGTAATTTCAGTTGGGCCTTTTCCATCTACTTCCACGATGTCGAGCTTGGAGGAGCCACTTGGTTTTGACAAGTTGCCTAGCATGAGTACTATTGATCGGGTTCAAAGATTCTCATCTAGTGCTTGCAGGTCTAGAGCAGATGATACGGCAATGGGGAACTGTTGGATTGAAGGAAGAAGTTGTAGCACATCCAATAGCTGCAAGTAAGTAGTTTGCGGTCTATTTTGTTTGGGAAACAAGCAAAATGTACGTTATCCATTCATTTGCTTTCGTGTGCACAAAACAATCAAATTCTGTCATAGCAGTCAAATTCTGGACCAGATTTCCTTCTTTGTTGTCAGTTTCCTAATTTATTTGGTTTGGTTTGTTTTCTTATTCCTGTTTGGATTAGGATTTATTTTTTAGTAAGAGATTTTTATCCTACATCAGTATGCCCATGCAGGCATGTGTGTGAGCATGTGCTCGGGTCAGACCACATAGTTGGAAATTGTCTGAAGGATAAATGACAAGATCCTGGTTTTTTCCCTTACCATTTAGTTGAAGATCGAATTGATTTATTCATCTTCTTCTCAGTTCCTAATTGTCTCTTGCTTTCACAGAATGACCTGTGCAGAGCATATTCTTACATAGTTTAGCTACTCTAAACTATAATAATGTTTAATTGATAATGTAACCTTAAAAACTTATGTTAATTTTCAGCGAAGATTATGAAGAATATACAAGAGAGGCCTTTCCATGGAAAAGACATACAAGAGACATTTCCCGTGGTGACTCCTTCAATCAAAGGACCTTGAGCTTAGGCAGGAATCACCGGGTATTTGGAAATATTTGTGATTCATGGTATTTGTCAGATCAATATGAGTCCAAGTGCAATGACAAAGATATAACAAATAAGGTGCTTCAATAACTTAAATAGGATGATGATCTTTGCCATCTGTTTTAACTTATTGCATGAGGATGTCGTGATATCTGTTGGGTAACAGATAAAGTTTTCCTTTTCTCTTCTTGTAAATTATATATACATTTTGACACTTGGGTTGCATATTATTTGTCTTTTGTTTGAATGAAACAGATTTTGAAAGGTATACCAAAGTTTGTAAAGATAGTAGAAGTTGGTCCAAGGGATGGACTTCAAAATGAAAAGAATATTGTATCTGCATCTGTAAAGATTGAATTGATTCATAGACTGGTATCTTGTGGGCTGTCTGTTGTTGAGGCTACAAGTTTCGTATCACCCAAATGGGTTCCTCAGGTAATTTACCTTTACTAGTTATTTAATTGAATTGGTAACTTCAAATTTCTCTTGGAAAGTGTAATTTTTATGGGAATAGTTAACTGATAAGTATCTTCTTAGTTAAGTTTTTAGGGTTCTCAGTTTAACCTGTAAATCCCATGAAGCTTAATTAGATGCCTTTCTATGAGTCAGATTTTGGTAACGTAAGCATTAATTTATGATACAATAATGAGAGACGTCAAATATCATATATTATTTTGATTTGAAATACAGATCTCCTCTAAGGTTCAGTGAATTCAAGAAACTTTCCTATTTTTATAAAGTACACAAACATCCCCTAGTTTTAATTTTTAAGAGATCTTTGAAAAAGTTGTCATTATTGCCCTATTCTGGAAATTTTAGTCAATTGCATTTTAAAAACTCATCATAAAAAAGAAATTTTGTACCTTTAATATCAGAACTATTATCAAGACATCACATGCCATGTAATATCTGCAAGAAATGATATTTGCAGTCCCACTTTAAAGTCACTAAAGTTATAAACATTAACTTCTCTTCCTGCTAAAAAGTTCATCCTGTGATCAATATTGCTAATATCTTATTAGGAAATAATGGTACATAGGTAAAGCAGATCTCAATTAAACAGCTTCACTTTGAAGACAATATATGTAGCGTTTGCTTGCTTTGACTATGATCCTCATCAATAGATATGTGGATTTCTCTTTGGGAACGCTGTTTGAGTATAACTTGTCTCACTTCTGTTCCATTTTCCTTTCTATATATAGCTAGCAGATGCAAAGGATGTAATGGAAGTAGTTCACAATTTGGAGGGTGCTAGATTGCCTGTTCTGACACCCAATTTAAAAGTAAGTGATCTCTAGTAGTACTACCAGACTTTTGTCATGTGATTTCTCTGACATATCTGATCAACTTTTATAGGGCTTTGAAGCAGCTATTGCAGCTGGTGCTAAGGACATAGCAGTCTTTGCATCAGCTTCTGAATCATTTTCAAAGTCGAACATCAATTGTAGCATTGAAGAAAGTCTTGTTCGTTATCGTGCTGTTACTCGTGCGGCAAAAGAGCTTTCAATTCCTGTTCGAGGGTATGCTCTCTCTCTCTCTCTCTCTCTCTCTCTCTGTGATAAGAAACAGAAACTTTATTAAGTAACTGAAACATGAGAGCTAGCTTGGCCTTCCAAATCAACAGATGGGTTAAAAAATGAAAAAGATGGTTTGGCAATATTAATGTAGGATTTACATGAAAAACTTTCTTAGCTGCCTCTCTCTCTTCTTTTGCTATTTTTCTTTGCCTTGTAGGCTATTTCTGTATAATATTATATTAGTTCCAGCTACCCTATGCAAGCATTGTCCTACATGATGTCTGTATTCCCTCTGCCAGGGCATGTTTCCTTTACAATGCAATTTTAAAAAGGAAATGATAGGCCACAAACATCTGCTATCGTTTGTTTCTTGGCACATGTTCTGATGCATTGTGGCTGAACACTTCAAGGATCACAAATGAAAGCTCAAGCTTGCCGTTGCACTAGCTGATTCATATTTTCATCCTTACGTCTCTCTTTGGTTTCCAACCCCTCGTGCTATCTTGTTACTTACAGAAAATGTATTTAGCCAAAAAATACAAATATGGGAGATAATAGTGCGGGCCATGATATGACAAGGCCATGGAACACTCTCAATGACTTGATTTTAGTAGGGTTCGTTTTTTTCTCTTTTCATTATGTTAGGAGTCAAGTTCTCATGTAAGAGGTTCAACATAACATGAAGGAGAAGGATCAGATGTTTAGATCTTATTGCCAAGGCACATACCTTCCCAAATAGGATTAGGCAATTTGAGATCTTGATGCTTTCCGCACCCAATACTTCCTTGAGGTTCAACTCAAAGTGGCAGAACTAAACGTTCTGTTGTGGTATACAATTTCTAATTTTTTCCTTCCCTTAACAGGAAAGGAGGTCTGCTGGGCTTTGATAAATTTAGTGTTTGTTTTACCTTTCCTTTCCTTGGGGGCGAGGATTAATAATTAAGGGTTTGATTTGGTGGGTTAAGAAGAATGATATATCTCACTTCAAATTCAATTTTGGAGCAGATAAGACTTTATTGTCCTATGATAATGCTAAATTTTAATTATGTTGGTTGTGATGGATAAATTGCCTTCACTGGAATTTGGGTTATGAACTCTCTATGAGTTAGACAAAAGTACCGTTCAACCTCTCGCTTCTATGTTTGTATGTATCATTACCCTTTTGGTGGTGATCTTACTTTAATACTTCTTTGAAGACATAAAGGAAGGAACATTTATTTTATTTTATGTGCGCTGGTTCTTTTATGAATTAACTTGTTGTTTTTAACGTTGATAGGTATGTCTCGTGTGCCATTGGATGTCCAGTGGAGGGAGCAATTCCTCCATCAAGAGTGGCATATGTAGCAAAAGAACTTTACAACATGGGCTGCTTTGAAATTTCTCTTGGTGACACAATTGGGGTTGCTACACCTGGTAACATTTTGAACTTTGTACTTTGATTAACAAATTACTTTTGTCCTACAAAACATATTACTTTCCTGTTTCTATTAGGTTTAAGTCTTTATGAATACTTCCCATCTAAATCAATAGGAGTTAGTTGATGAATCAAGTTTTCCTGTGTTTGGGTCTTTATGGATACTTCTGTTAGGAATAGGTTTACTTCCCTATTCCTATTAGATATAGGTCTTTATAAATACTTCCCATGTAATTCAATGGGAGTTAGTTGATGAATCAAAGTTTTCTTGTTTGCTTTCCTGCTATGGGAATTCTGGTGTGAAGTCCCTGGAGTGAATCCCTATCCTACATTAGGAAAGCTGATAAAAAATATTATAGAATGTGGACAGAAATACATGTTGACTTCAAATAAAGGCCATTACTCCAAGGCCTCTAAAGATGGGTGTTCATTTATGGAGTGACATTTTTCCTTTCAACCAAAATATGAAGTTTCATATGCCCAGATAATCATTGTTAGTATATATATATATATATACATATATATTTTTTTTTCTGTCATACCTCAAATGGCCTTGTACTTATTTTTTATCTGTTTTTTCCTTCCTTCGACACAGGGACGGTTGTCCCCATGCTTGAAGCTGTGATGGCTGTTGTTCCTGTTGAGAAGCTTGCTGTTCACTTCCATGACACCTATGGGCAATCTCTTTCAAACATTCTCGTATCTCTTCAAGTAAGCCATCTTTAACATGTCAAAATTGGTTCAAGTTGCATTTATATTTTATCTTTTCGTAAGAAACAGAACAATGTTTTGAATATAATTAGTAGGTACAAGTAGACCGCAATGAATAATTTGTCTACTGAAGACACTTTCATCCAATTAAGCAGCCTAGCTACCAGTCCACATCAACTGTTTTCAAAATTAATTTTGTTTCTTTCCAACACCACCCAAAGGACAACTAATAGTATACACTACAATTCCACAAAACTTTTCCCTTTCTTTCCCCTTGTGTGCAATGCTTTCTCAATGAAAAGAGGAATGCATGAATGCACCCACAAAAAATTAGCTTCCCCACATCTCGTGGCAAAGCTGTAAAGAAATTGATTAATGGAGAAATTTTTTTTATTGGTATCCTAAACCTCTCTTTGTACATCATTACACGAGTGGAGATACAGACAAACATTAGACACCCTCCTTTGAATATAATCACTGATATTACCCTAACATGAGCAATGATCAAGCTAAAATTTGTTGTACATTAAGTTTAAAGAATACTTCATACAATTAATGTTGTACGCATTTATTTGCGTGCAAAAGTAATACCAAATACTCCTAAAATTTACCTAAAAAATACAAATCAGTGATCATGTTTCTTTTTTGTTTGTAATTTTTTAGAACATTAGTTGCAATCTTAGTCCTGTTTTACCTTACTTTTCCCTCCCTTAGGACTTGTTTCCTTGTTTAGTTTTAAGGAATAGATTAGGTGTTTTGAAGTAATTGTGATATTTCATAACAAGGAAGCAAAAAATGAAAAGGGTTTTCACCAAGGACTTCCCCCTTGTTTCCTTGTTTAGTTTTAAGGAATAGATTAGGTGTTTTGAAGTAATTGTGATATTTCATAACAAGAAAGCAAAAAATGAAAAGGGTTTTCACCAAGGACTTTCCAAGGCCTATTGTTTTTTTTCCCTTCATTTTTCAATCAGGAACAAGGTAGATGTGTTACAATAAATGTGTAAACCCTAATATTTTCTTTTGAACAGATGGGGATTAGCATAGTGGATTCCTCTATTGCGGGTTTAGGTGGGTGTCCGTATGCTAAGGGAGCTTCAGGTAACGTTGCCACTGAAGATGTTGTATACATGCTTAATGGACTTGGTGTCAAAACCAATGTGGATTTGGCGAAACTCTTGATGGCTGGGGACTTCATCAGCAAGCATTTGGGCCGCCCCTCTGGTTCAAAGACTGCCGTAGCTTTGAGCCGAGTTACAGCCGATGCCTCTAAGATATAAGATAGATATTTCAGGAGTTATTCAAGAGGAAAGAAGGGTGCTTCGTTCTTACATGGAATACCCATGATCTTCACGCTGCCACACAGCAGGAATAAACACTTTTAAGTCTTGGATACAATAATTATTTTTTTCAAAGGCACATCATATTGTGTTCAATATGAAGTTGCCATCTTTGGTTGTATAAAGTTTAAAAACGTGCGGAGGATTTCTTCTGTTAGAAAATAATAGATATAAAGAACATATACTAATGAAGTCCGGGAATCTTCCTTGTAATCTTTTTTCTGCTTAAAAAATGATATATATATACAGAGAGCTTCTATTGAGGGATCCCTCAAATAAGCTTATTTGAGGGACACCCCTTATAGGGCCCACTCCGGATTGTATTTCACTAATCCAAACCTTCTATTTTGTAGATACACATTCAAAGATCATCTCTACAAAAAATCACTTGAATCCGATATCATTTGACCATTCAATTAAGTTATTGAAATTTTAGTACTTTCTTGAAGCACCGTGTTCATTGATTTTGTATGACACAATTGGATGTCAAAACGGTTTCCGATTTGTCTAATTTTTTGTAAGGATGATCTATGAATTAAGACCTAAAAGATAGATTGTTTGGATCATTGGAAAACAAATTATAGGGTACCCTAAAAGGTGTCCCTCAAATAAAATTATTTGAGGGATCCCTCAATAGAAGGGGACTGTATATATATAGTCCCTTTCTATTAAGGGATTTCTCAAATAAAATGAGGGGATCCTATGATTTTTTTTTCAACGATCCCAACTGTCGATTTTTTAAAATTAAATTAATAGATTATTCTTGCAAAAAATTAGACAAATCGGAAACTGTTCTGACATCTACTTGTGTTCTACAAAATCAATGAACACGGTGCTTCAAGAAAGTACTAAAATTTTAATAATTCAAGAGTGGTCAATGATAACGGATTCAAGTGATTTTTTGTAGAGATGATCTTTGAATGAATACCTAGAAAAATAGACGGTTTAGATTAGTGAAATACAATATGGAGTGGGCCTTACAAGGGTGTCCCTCAAATAAGCTTATTTGAGGGACACCCTTGTAGGGCCCACCATACATTGTATTTTATTAATCCAAGCCGTCTACTTTTAGATAATCATTCAAAGATCATCTCTACAAAAAAAATCACTTGAATTCGATATCATTTGACTACTCAATTGAGTTATTGAAATATTTATACTTTCTTGAGACACCGTGTTCATCGATTTTATAGGACACAATTAGATGTTGAAACGGTGTCTGATTTGTCTAATTTTTTGCAAGGACGATCTATGAATGTAGACTTAAAAAATAGATGTTTTGGATTGTTTAAAAAAAATTCGTAAGAGACCCTAAAGCATGTCCCTCAATAGAAGGGACTGTATATATATACTAGTTTGTAGACAGGCGGCACGCTCAATTCCGAGTTGTGACGAGTGTGGGAGCAGATATTTTCGTCTCCAATCACAGCACGCCACGTGGAAAAGAAGATTATCTCTTTTAATTAATTAATTGAACCAGTTTATCTGGCCAATTAATTAATTGGGATAAATATCTTAATTAAATGATATTATCTTTATTTAATAAGATAATATCATTAATTAAGATATTATCCTAATAAAGAGAAGATAATGTCATTATCTCATATATTATCTTCATAAAAAGAGATAATATCATTTAATTCAGATATTATCTCCATAAAAAGAGATAATATCATTAAATCAGATATTATCTCAGTCCGACTCGATCCCTACGAATTTGGGTATAGAATAAACTCAGTATATTCTCTACGAAACCCTAGCCCCGAGGCTCCTATAAATAGATGACTTCATTCATCATTCAAGGTACATCTAAACCTACTCCTTATACCCGAGAAAAATACCCGAAGCTCTTTCTCTCTCTCCATTCTCCATATTTTCTCCACACGGCTCCGGCCACCACACACGGCTCCGGCCGCCCGGTTCACACCCTACATAAACACTACTCCGTACCCTTTGCTTAGCTATTGTTTTTCTACAAACACTCGAACTAACTTAGGCATCGGAGGGCCTTTGGCCAACACCCCCCGGGTGTGGTCTATTTACTCCAATCTGTTTTACAGGAATCGAGGAAGAGAGAGAAGGAAGATCGAAGGTTGAAGGATCTAGAAGCGAATATTCTCCCGTGAGATTATTTGCACAAACATTTGGTGCTTTCATTGAGAGCACGAGTTATACTCAACGCGTGCTCAAGGAATCCGTTCCTCATATTTTCCAATCCACCGAAGCCTTCCAAACAACCATGGTTGGAAGCAAGCGCACGAGGAGTAAAACCGCCGCGATGGCTCAATCTGTGACGGCCCAAAGCCACTCCACCCACGATCCCGCGATCAACATGGTGGCACCACCACCTCTCGCCACCGTGCCACCTACCGGACCCGCGACCGAATCTAGCAATCTTCGTGGCACCGCCGCCGAACATGGTGGAACCTCCCATCAAGGTGGTCTCGTTACCACCACCGACTTAGGCCCGGTCTTGGAGCAACTTCAAGCGTTCCCTCCATTGCCTCCACGCTCGACACACGCTCTCGCGTACACCTCCAGTGAAACCCTAGCCCGTGTGCAATTGGGCTCCACACGCTTCTCTCCTCCCGATCCACAAAGTCAAGCAGATCTCAACCTGAGAGTTGACCAGCTAGCTCAGAGAATGGACGACCAAAACGCTCTTATGAGGCAGCTCCTTAATCAAATAAGCGTGGCTCAAAATCTTGGCCTTGGACAACCAGGCGAAGTGAGAAGAATAGACGAACGCACCGGTGGGCAGCTCAACGGGGACCAAGCGGGTCGAGCAGGAGCGAGCAGACAAGGGGATGCACAACCACGTGATCAGCTTGCCGACATGTCGCAAGCATCTGCAAGCCACACACAAAGCAACGTGCGAGAAAGGCTCGGCCCACGACTTGACGTCCGTGCTCTCCTGGGCCCGCAAGGGAATGTACTTTAAAGGCTAGGCTCCCAGGGAGATCAAACTGACAATCGCCGCAATGAAGATTGTGAAGAAAGGCGCTCCGCTGCCCACTCGCAGAGAAATATTCACGAAAGGCTAGGCCCCCAGGGAGGTCAACCCGCTAACCCTCGCAATGAGGATCGTGAAGAGAAGCACTCCATTGCCCGCTCTCAGAGAACCAACTCTCGCCGTCAAGCTGCAGAAAATCCCTCGCAATCGCAGTCCACCAACACGCCTCCTAGGCAGCGCGGACGAGAGGACCGACCCTTGCAGACCAACGAAGAGGTCAATCAGCGTCGCCCGAATCGCAAAAGTCGCCAACGTGATCGACCAGCACTGCGCGCGGAAGACGTTGAGAAGCTTGTGAATGACCGACTTCGAGACTTGAAGACTGGCGGGAACTTCGAGGATGCACTACGTAAGGAGATGGACCAGGCGATCTCTACTCCTTTCACCCCTGAAATCGAGCAGGCTGGTCCCCCGAAGCGATTCTCAACGCCTTCTTTTACGCATTTCAAGGGAGATTCCGATCCCGAGAGCCACCTAAAACACTTCAAAAGTGTCATGATCCTCCACAAGGCCGACGACGCATTGATGTGCAAGGCGTTTGCAATGACATTGCGAGGAGCAGCTCAGGACTGGTTCCACACCCTGCCATCTGGGTCGATCAACAGCTTCAAGGAGCTTGCTTATGTCTTCACTAAAGAATACACTTCTTATCGGTCAATCAAGAAGAATCCTGACCATCTATTCAACCTGCACAAGAAGTCCAATGAATCCCTGCGAGACTACATCAAGAGGTTCAAGGCGGAGAGGGCAAACACTGTAGGATGTGATGACCAAATTGCGTTCTCTGCCTTCAAGAGGGGGTTGCCAACTGAATGTGAGTTGTATCGCGAGCTGACCATCTATCCTCGCCAAACACTAGTAGAAGTCTTTGCTATAGCAGAGCGCTACGCATTATGGGACGACGACCAGATCGCCATGAAGAAGGCTGATCAAGTAGCTGAGCAGGCAAGCCAAGAGAACGGCAAGCGCAAATCACAGCCTCAGGAAGGTGCTTCAGCAGCGGAGAGCTACACCAAGTTCACTATCCCGATACACCAGATCCTGGCCCAAGTAAAAGACATGCCTTGGTTGAAGAAACCATCGCCTTTAAAGGGAAACCCAACCAAGAATGATACCAGTAGATACTGCACATTCCATGAAGGGCATCGTCATTACACAAACGACTGCTTCGCCTGGAAAAGGCACCTTGAAGATCTAGTCAGAGACGGCCATTGCACGGAGATGGCAAGGAGGGCTATCCAGCAAATCAAGGATTGTGACCCCGCTAACGATGAACCTCCACGAAAAAGGTCATATGGATCAACACGATCCTAGCTGACTCCAAAAGCCCAGACTGACCACCAGGGGGCACAAGAGAAGGATCAAGCAGGCGACTTCCGTCCTAAGCCGTCACTAGCTACCAAGTTGTGGAAGACGAACATTTATCATCTTTCAATGGAAGGAAGTTCTAAGACAATGAAATACCCATTACCTCCAAGGGTACTATCCATGAAGCTCTTCACCTATTAGCTCGGCTCTAAGCAGGCGACCAAGCCTTCCTCACCTCCATTGAAGACAAGTTACTTTTGATGTTACTCATGCACTCATCTTTTTTGGTCAATAAGGCAATGTAGTCACATAGACATCAATACAAGTTCAAGCTTTTCTTTCCAATGAAGTATTCACAAAAGCAATCGACACATTTCCGGACGTAGGCCAAACGGGCCACTCTCAACGACACGTTCCCGGACGTAGGCCAAACAGGCCACTATCATCGACACGTCTCCGGACGTAGGCCAAACGGGTCACACACAACGACACGTCCCCGGACGTAGGCCAAACGGGCCACTATCATCGACACGTCTCCGGACGTAGGCCAAACGAGTCACACACATCGACACGTCCTCGGACGTAGGCTAAACGGGCCACTATCATTGACACGTCTCCGGACGTAGGCCAAACGGGTCACACATCGACACGTCTCCGGATGTAGGCCAAACGGGCCACTATCATCGACACGTCCCCAGACGTAGGCCAAACGGGCCACTATCATCGACACGTCTCCGGATGTAGGCCAAACGGGTCACACATCGACACGTCTCCGGACGTAGGCCAAACGGGCCACTATCATCGACACGTCCCCAGACGTAGGCCAAACGGGCCACTATCATTGACATGTCTCTGAACGTAGACCAAACGGGTCACACACATCGACACGTCCCCAGACGTAGGCCAAACGGGCCACTATCATCGACACGTCTCCGAACGTAGGCCAAACGGGTCACACATCGACACGTCTCCGGACGTCGGCCAAACGGGCCACTATCATCGACACAAGTAGGCCAAACGGGCCACTATCATCGACATGTCTCCAGATGTAGACCAAACAGGTCACTATCATCGACACGTCTCTGGACGTATGCCAAACGGGTCACTCTCATCGACACGTCTCCGGATATAGGCTAAACGGGCCACCCTCATCGACACGTCTCCGGACGTAGGCAAAACATGCCTCAACCCAGAAACACTCAAGCAGTTCACAAGACACTATGCAAATTGAAGTTGAAAAAATAACTGAAATTTCCTTAGTAAAGTGACCAACCGGCCAAAGTTCAACAAAAAGAAGACAGTCAAGCAAGACCAATTATTCTAAATGAGAAAGCATACTACAAAAGCTGAAAAGAAATAAAGAAGTCTTCATCTACTCCGAGACGCCAGCAGGAGATCCTTGATCTGCAGCCACTTCAGCGTCCGTCTGATCAGCCACACTCTCAGCAGCTCCACCTGCTTGATCCTCCACGTCTGCCCCCACCTCCTTTTTGAAGGAGAAGAAATGTTGCTTCCTTTTGTTTTTCCAAGGAAAGACTTGGGAAAGTACCAAGATCGCCAGCCTGACGGATTTGATGAACCAGCTCAGCACAAGTGGATGGACTTGACAGAAAGTTCGTCTTTAGCAGATCAGACACGCCTGCATCCTCTGCAAGGGTGGACTTGTCCACCTTGAGATCAGCTGCTGACGTTGCAGAAGAGCCCTTCGCCCAGGCAAATGACTCTCTTGCTTTCTTAGCCTCTGTCAACCTCACTTCCAAAGGAATTGGCGACGATGAATCCACTCCATGCTTGATTGCTCGTGACTCAACAGTTGAAACATGATGGTTGGATGGATGAGCAGACTGCCCAGATCGACTTCCAATCTTCGACTAGTACAAACGACTCAAATTTCGAAAAGGAGCATCCGCATCTCTTTGCCTCTCAACAAGTGAGTTAAATCGCGCACGGACTACTTTGCGGAGCATATCACGATCTCCCAACTCATCATGCTTGAGCTCTCGAAGACTGACATCAGCCTTCCTCTTTTAGGGGAGTTTAGCAAAACACTCCTCATGTCCAGTAGGCAAATCATCAAGGCTCGGACCATCTTGCTTCCATCTATCGACATCCTTAGCAGGGGGCAGTCCACCAACTTCCTCCTGATCATCGCTCAGCAGCCGCCAGCGGCCACCGCCGTTCCAATCGTCTTTGGCCGCCAGTCACGACGACAACCAGCCTGGTCCCACCCAACTAGTCCTCGCCTTGAAAAAGAGAAGACGAAGAAAAATTTACGTGCTCGACTTACTTTGGGATGCACGGCAACTCCTCTCTTCGACAAGCAGTACAAAATTCTCCAAGATCTTTCTCAAGCTAGAAAGTAGAGAAGTTAAGTTTGCGATGTAAGAAAGAGTGAAGAGAAGCCTTGTATTTATACAAGTTGGACAGCCCGGGTCAAGAAGGAATCTCAAGCTCTTTCCTACTGGGAATCCAACTCCAACAACAGTAAGAAGCCTACACCAATTGAGAATCCGATCTGCAAAAGGAGTCCAACTCACAGAAGAAAGCCCAGACTCAGTTGGAGAGCCCGAAAAAAATAATTTCATCTCCTACATGCCACACAAGTGTCACGCAGAAGCTGGGGGGCATTTGTGGGAGTAGATATTTTCGTCTCTAATCACAGCACGCCACGTGGAAAAGAAGATTATCTCTTTTAATTAATTAATTGAACCAGTTTATCTGGCCAATTAATTAATTGGGATAAATATCTTAATTAAATGATATTATCTTTATTTAATAAGATAATATCATTAATTAAGATATTATCCTAATAAAGAGAAGATAATGTCATTATCTCATATATTATCTTCATAAAAAGAGATAATATCATTTAATTCAGATATTATCTCCATAAAAAGAGATAATATCATTAAATCATATATTATCTCAGTCCGACTCGATCCCTACGAATTTGGGTATAGAATAAACTCAGCATATTCTCTACGAAACCCTAGCCCCGAGGCTCCTATAAATAGATGACTTCATTCATCATTCAAGGTACATCTAAACCTACTCCTTATACCCGAGAAAAATACCCGAAGCTCTTTCTCTCTCTCCATTCTCCATATTTTCTCCACACGGCTCCGGCCGCCCGGTTCACACCCTACATAAACACTACTCCGTACCCTTTACTTAGCTATTGTTTTTCTACAAACACTCGAACTAACTTAGGCATCGGAGGGCCTTTGGCCAACACCCCCCGGGTGTGGTCTATTTACTCCAATCTGTTTTACAGGAATCGAGGAAGAGAGAGAAGGAAGATCGAAGGTTGAAGGATCTAGAAGCGAATATTCTCCCGTGAGATTATTTGCACAAACAACGAGTACGTAAAGGTCAGAAAACCGAAAGGACGTATTGGTAATTTCAAAATTTGTCAAAAACCCTAAATACTTGGATCTCTCTCTCTCTCTCTCTCCCCCCCCAGTGCTTTCTCTCTCCCCCGACAGTTTCTCTCTCCTCTCTTTCTCCTCTCCGCGACACCGATCGTTTCATACGGAGATTTTGTCGCCGTCTGACCACCAAATCCCACGAGACCACTTCCAAATCTCTCTCTCTCTCTCTCTCTCTCTCTCTCCAGCCCACCCCATTTCTGCGATCGAAAACTCAGCGTTTGGCGATGGCGTCGACTGGAAAACTTGGCAGAAACTGATACAGTCGTCAGCGACGTTTTCGGCCACCTCGAGCCTTGCCACCACTTGGAAAAAGTAGCTCTCTCCTCCCTCTTGCTTTCCCCTGGGTTGCGTGATGCCATTGGTGGCTGTCGCCGCCATTTCGGGGCTAGGAAGTTTCTGCCAAAATCTTACTATTTCGGCTTCGATTCGGCTAGCTCCGACCACTTTTTGGCTGTGATAAAAAATGCTCCCCTTGATAGTTTGAATGTGTTGGTATAAGTAATGTAGGATGTTTTGAGAAATTTCCGTTGTCAGAAATTTCTCAAGACACCCACGCTCTGCAGAGGAGGGCGGCGGCTTCTGGGCCACCGTGTGGCGGCCCACTACATTCTAAAATGTCCCCCTTATCGTTCTGAGCACAATGGTATGCTCAGTTTTGGAATTGGTTCCCGTTTGACAGTCAAACGGATCGTTCGATCTATCCCAATTTCAAATAGGTTGTTCTTTGTACCTCTAGGATCATGTAGGAACTCACAGATTAAGAATCGGAGTCCCGGATACTTTGAATCAATGATTCTTGGTTTAGGAGAAACGATCGCCATCCGATCGTGCAATTGGCTTAGTTCTGACCGCTCGATTGAGACCAAACTTACTGGACGTGTTTAGTAAACCTTGTTGAACTTGTAGGGACTTTCGAATAGAAAATCGGTGGTCGTGGGCCTTGCGGGTCCCATTGACCAATACGGAAAGTTTAACTGCTCGGTTGACCATGAGTCTTCCGGGACTGTCTCGTCCTTCAGGAAGTATTAGAATAAGTTTATAAACCCCCTTAAAGGTTGCGCACACTTTGAGACCCGGGAACTTGAGTGTTGAGTTGAAGTTCGTTGTTGGGTACGCTTATTATTTAGATCTGCTTATGCTCTCGAGTGAGGTACCCACACTTCGCGTACTCCAGAGGGAGAGCCCTCTCAGGGTGAGCTGTGTGTTTGTTTTAATGATCATTATTTTCGAGGATGGAATGTTATGTGTATATAAAATGTCATGTGTATATTTGATTATGTTGACTATTGGGATAATGAACTCTTATTGTAGTTTTAATTGTGGATTATGGTATTTTGTGGTTATTAGATGTTATATTGATATTTGAAGTTTATGAAATATTTGGAGTTGTGGAATATATGATTATGGGATACTTGATTGAATGGTTGTGAAATCGAGTCTTGGGACTTAGCTATGATTATTAGGCAACGAATGGACAATTGTTTTAAATGTGCTTTTGAGAGTTTATTTCTATACTATGAATAAATATTTGGGTACATTGGAATATTGAGAATTTGGGAAAATTGAATTAAGGGAGGGTATATTATTTTATATTATATATATATATATATATATACATATGAGTTTGTGAATTTCACCATCATATGTACCTTCCTTGGTTACTATACCCACACGTGGCGTGTGGGCTCACTTGGATACTGGTTACTGTCACTTTACCACACTTGGCGTTCACTGCTACAAAAATGGAAATAGACAATGGGAATCCACCGTCGTCTTGAAAGTTTTTAAACCGTTGTGAAATCAACGTCTTTAAGACATACAACGTCATATCAAAAGACACACCGAAGTCTAATTACTATAAAAACAGCAAAAAAGGAAAACTTCGACAATCTTAGACGACATGTTTAGCAAAATAAACATCTAAAGGGGATTATATGTCAAGAACTCTATACAGGCCGATGTAAAAACCCTTAACCATGTGTCTATTTGAAAACATATCGTTGTTTATAACATCAAAACCGTCATGGTTAAGATATACTATAAAAACTAAAAACAAAAACCGGCGTCTAAATTCTATAAAAACGCAAAAAAAGGAAAACTTCTACAATCTTAGACGATGAGTACAGAAAAGAACAAATGTCTAAAGGATATTACATGTTAAGAATTACAACGTAACCGTCGTAAAATATATTAACCACGACACAAGCTTAGAATGACCACTGCTTATAACATCTTCCATGTCGCCATCCAGGAATACACTGCCTTGTTAAATATTTTCTACGATGTTTTCTGGAAAATATTGACAACTGAAGTTGTTAACATGGCACAATTTTATTATACACCGACGTAACATTCCCTAACCACAACCCAAATATTTCGACGCGGTCGTTAACAAACCTTTCACGGTGTGCAATGGAGGTAAATCGCCGTGGATAAATGTTTGAACGGCGGTTATTGTAAACTAACCGTTGTGGCTAATCTATTCACTTCGTCTGTAGTGTCCAATTGCTCGTCGTTGTTATTTAACTTACCACGTCAGTAAGCGTATAGAAATTGACGTGGTTGGCCTTTTAAAAGTCACTTTTTAAACCCTCATTGACGTGTGTTCTCTGAGATGTCAATTGTTGTCATTTACCTGACGTTCAGAAGAGCTATCACGACAGCTAATGGAATTGAGTTGCCTTTATTGTGCGCTTTAGACAATGATAATTATTTATCAGTAGAAGTAGTGTTGTCCTAAGATTCGTCAGTTGGAGCACTCTTCCCTCGTTTCATTTGTAAATCTACGACGTGAATTATTATCATGATCGTCTTTGTTGGTAATATCTATTAGCCGTCATGTAATATGAATTTTAATTAACCAACGTGTTTTCTTTTTCAAATAGCGGTTTTTATTTACGTACGGTCTTTTGCATAGTCATTCCACGTCGTTTGTTAAAATATGACGTTAGTTATGATTTAGACGTCTGTTTTTGCAATTTGTTAACTGGACTGTTGTATTTTACACCTTGAACCCAGTATTTTTAATACTGGATTTGTCTTGCCCAAAGCCTGCATAATGAAAATGTGATAAGAATAATGTCACATTCAAATTTATTGCAAAATTAATGTCATAAAGAGCCATTAATTAATGTCATATAGTTAATTGCATAACTAATGTCATACATTACAACAATCAAACAATCCATATATCTTCACACCCATCTCTAATATTTTCACTCCCAAACTCACCCATTAGGTCATTAAATGTGTCAACATTGGGCATCCCTCTAGTAAATGGCTCACACTCAATTCTAATATCACCTAAGACATCATCACCAATAACATCATTATATTCTCTATTAGGCATTGATAACACTACCGACCAACCACGATGCATTGGGTTGTCAACAAAAAATACTTGTTTGACTTGAGAAGCCATAACAAATTGGTCATTCTTATGTCCAAATTTACTCAGATCTACAAGGGTAAATCCAAGTTTGTCGACTACAAGGCCCGAAGTGTTATCTATCCAATCACACCTGAAGACTGGGATTCTAAACTTTTGGTAGTCAAGGTCCCAAATTTCTTGAATGACATCATAAAAACCCATATTGGAGACAATAGAGTTTTTATCCTTGGCACTAGCAACTTGCATAGTATGGGCAAGTAAATAAACTCCATTATTTTGGACAATTTGCACATCATCTTGTGCCTTGGTGTTAAATTTAACACCATTAATAAGATAACTCTTATATGATGGCATTGCCATGCTTGGACCAGCTGCTAGCCGCCTCAAATTTTTTGACACGCCATTATTGTCTTCCTCATTAAGTTCACTATGAACCTGCAAATTAATTATATCTTAATTCAATCTAACATAGAAAGAAGAAAATTAAAAGTCTAATATGTTATTCAATAACATATACCTTAAAGTGTAGTCGTTGAATGAAAGTGTTATTGTGCTTATCTTGCAGCCACTTTGATCAAGCATTACTGTCCCTTTTATATAGGATAAACATAAGGAATAATTTAAAATGGCTACTTAAAGAATAAAACTCATACTCGATATAAGGTAGGACTTTCGCCATATTCTCCAAGACATATAGATGTGCCTAGTTCAACAGATCTAGATCAACTAAGCTCACTATGCAACCTGATAATGGATTTGAAACTCCCATCTTCTAGCGTGATGGCACTCCAACTGTACTAACATCAGATAAATGCTTGGTGCAAAACTCTACAACTTGCTGTTGTTCAGCAGCATTAGCATCAAGCTTGGGATTTTCTTCCTCCAAAACAAGGGGTCTCACATTAGTGGCACTCGAGAAGCTTGCTTTGTCAGACATTGGATTTTTCGGGCTTTGCTCTTGAGGCAGTAAAGAAATTGGGGTACTTGGAGTTTTCAGCATGTTGGGATCAAAATTGGGAATTAGTTGATTGAATTGTTTCAACATATATTCCCTCTCTGCTTTGACTGCATCCAAAACACTTTCCTTTGCCCTAGTCTTAATCCTCAAGGTCTCTTCTTTGACTGCTTCCATAACATTTTCCTTCAATTTGTCAACAAATTTTACTCTTTGTTGTCTTGGAAAATTGAAGAATTGACTTGGGGAAACCCCAGCTCCAATACCTCTGACTCTACCACCATGCTCGGGGGTTCCCAAAGCAAAAGTCAAACCATCATTGCTCCCAGAGACAGTCAGAGTGCCCTCGGAGACTTGTTTTTTTTTAAAAAAAATCATCCTGAGAGAGAGAGAGAGAGAGAGAATGTTAGTGAGTGAATAGATTGTAAAACAGATAAAATAAAACAACTAACTCAAAAATATAAACCACCGTGGTATTTTAGTGAAGATGATGGTGTATCTCTCATGAAATGCATCATGTAGTAGCCACACTCTACGTTTGTTAGTTGTGGAGGAGTGCCACGTAGAGTTTTCTGTATGGCTGATTTATGTGATTGTTTGCCCACATGTGAGTTATAGAGTTTGATTGCACTGTTTCAAGACAACAAAATGTGTTAATGAAAAATATTTTAGCTTACTGTTGAGGCCCAAAAAATCCACGGCTTGGCCCAAATGAATTCTTGGCCCAGCGCAATACCTTATTGAGAAAAAACCCACTCCTGGAGAGCAAGCTTCCTCTCTTACCTGCAAAAGCCCAGCAACCTTGTGCACTATTCACCCTCCTTCCCCATTTTCTTCTTCTGGCAAGCTGCTGGAAGAACATAGTTCTTTCTTTTCCTCTTCTCAGCCACATCTGCTTGCAAACCTCTTCTTCCTCACCTTAAACACTCCTCTTTCTCCCTAGGAAGCCATATTTCCTTTTTGGTGCTCAACTCATGCTAATTTTGCTTCCATGCCACATGCCTCTCATGCTAAGCTTAAAAGTTTATTTGTAAGCATCAAGAAATCATCTGTAAGCAGCCTTTATTTTCATCGATGAAGGTAACCAGAACGCTTCCTAAGGCTCTACTGCCCTTTCAAAGTGCTTTTGGGGCTTGATTTTGGAACTCAGACACAGGGGGCAATTTCAGCAATTTCCTTTTTACGGCGGCCCAGCCTATTTGCAGCTGCCGGAAGAAAAAAGCCCATACATAAATTGGCGACTCTGCTGGGGATCAGGCCGTTATCTTCACCAATGCCTCCAAGAAAGAAGGAATTGGGAATTTTGGAAGAAAATTCTGCACAGAGACCATCTCTTCCAGCAACAGCAAGTGGGTTTCTTTGTACAAGGGGATGACGGAGTTAGATTCGGCTCGAACTCTCTTCCAGCGACTGAAAACGGGTGGTTGTTGCCCAATCTCACTCACTCCCTCTCTCTCTCTCTCTCTCTCTCTCTCTCTCTCTCTCTCTCTCTCTCTCTTCGTTAGAGAAAGGAAAGAGAAAGAAGAGGAAAGTGGTAAAAAGAGGTTTATGTGTAAAGAAGAAAGAAAAGAAGAAAGAAGAAATAATAAATAGGAAGGAGGAAGCTGGTATCTGGGAAACCACAAATGGCTGCTCGAGCTTATAAATTTGATTTTTGGGTTGGGTTTAATTATTCGGCCCATTCCAGCACTTACCCATGGCCCTAATAATTAAGGGGGCTAATGAAGCCCAAAAAATCCACGGCTTGGCCCAAATGAATTCTCGGCCCAACGCAATACGTTATTGAGAAAAAACCCGACTTGGAGCACACAAAATTTTGCCGTGCACGAGTCACACTCCACACGCCATGCCAAATAAATAATCCGTCATGCTAGGAATCGAGATTAAGATTATAAAATGCATTATCTTTCCAAATCCATGGTAATTATCCCGTCGAGCATAATAATTAAAAGCATGCCAAGCGATATGCCATGCCAAGCGACATGCCATGCCAAGCAGGAAATCATTATTACACACCCAGCCACACTAAAAGCCTAAGTGGGCCCAAGCCACTCGAATCCCCAGGGCTTGCTTGAGTGGGTTGTGGTATGGATGGTACTAAATTGTCATGAGGCCCATTGATGGACCGAGAAGTGGAGGTTCCGGGTTGCTTGGGAGCCTAGGAACCCAAGCCCATTTCTTAGGCCCAAACATATGGGTGAGCACAAAATGGGAAAATAGTCCAACCAAAATAGCCCAACCAAAATAGCCCAACCAAAAAGCCCAACCAAAATGATCCACTAAAATTAACTCATATAGCCCAATGTTAGATGAAGATAGCCCATTTGTTTGGAAGGTTGACTTACTACTTTAAAGGCCCACACAATTGGAGGTAAGAAGAAGCAAAAGCATTAGCCCTTTCGCTAAAAGAAACAGAAGCCACGTAGGGAGCAAAGTGTCCACATACGCAGAGCTGCTGGAAGGCTCCAGCACATGGGAAGGAACAATTTCCAAGCACAAAACACCCGAAAAACCAAAGGATATTAACGTGCAAGCTGCCAGGAAGAGAAGCACTCTTCGAACCAACATACATACCCCAATTCCTTCCCCCATCAGACTTGGGCATAGAAAAGAGGAGGAAAGAAAGGAAGAATATCTTCATGTAAGATGTAGGTATCATGCTCACACCCAAAAACTTCCCCTGGCATTTTAATTCCCATGGTTTTGTTCAAAGCCTCCAACTTCGTCTCGGCATATTGACATAAGGCTAATAGAGGAGGTGGCAAGTCTAGCTTTGAGAAATCCTGTTTCAAGAAATAAAGAAAAAAAATATAAGATAGCTTGTACAAAAGTAAAATAAACGACTCTAACTAAACCGTCGTGATATTAAAGTACAAACAACGCTTCCTAAGGCTCTACTGCCCTTTCGAAGCGCTTTTGGGGCTTTATTTTGGAACTCAGACACATGGGGCAATTTCAGAAATTTCCTTTTTACGGCGGCCCAGCCTATTTGCAACTGCCAGAAGAAAAAAGCCCCTACACTTACGAACACACATTAGAATGTAGTGAATCAACTTACGTATTCACTATATTTCTCAAGTCGTCGTCAACCATGCGGTTTGGCAATGAATCCATAAAATATACCGTTTGCTTATCTGGTCTCAAAATTGCCAACACCCAATGAACCCTACACAAAATCTTGTTAAGGGGACTAACCCTGGATTATAAGGCCTAATTACAAAGAAAATAGTGGTCCCCATATGCCTTTTTCAGTCGGTCTGCTAGATGTTTTAAGCTGTTAGATAATGTTCTAGATTGAGCACTAACTTGTGCAGGGTCGATGAGGTCAACAAGGTTTACAATATTTTCCATTTTAAAATAGTCAAATAGGTACCTAAATATATGAAATCAAATGAGTTTTTTAATTTTAAAGAAAGAGAATTGTATAATGAAAATTGAATTGTATACTACAATCACTGTGGATCTTATCTCAACCATGGATGCAAGCTGAAAAATATCTTCATGTAAGATGTAGGTATCATGCTCACACCCAAAAACTTCCCCTGGCATTTTAATTCCCATGGTTTTGTTCAAAGCCTCCAACTTCGTCTCGGCATATTGACATAAGGCTAATAGAGGAGGTGGCAAGTCTAGCTTTGAGAAATCCTGTTTCAAGAAATAAAGAACAAAATATAAGATAGCTTGTACAAAAGTAAAATAAACGACTCTAACTAAACCGTCGTGATATTAAAGTACAAACAACGGTTCCTTGAAAAAACTGACGTAGTAAAGAATGTAGACGATGGTAAATAAAAACCGTCATTGTGTACTAGTTCTAATGTCGCAAAACTATAAAACAGTCGTCTAAATAAAATGCAAAAGGCAGTGAAGATGGCTTGTAAAACAAGTAAAACAAAAACCGTAGTAAGTAAACCATACAAACCGCTGTGGTATTTAACTCCAAATGACGATTCCTTAAAAAATCGACGTAGTAAAGAATGGAGACGATGGTAAAAAGAAACCGTCGTTATGTACAAGTTCTAAATAAAATGCAAAATGCAGTGAAGATAGTTTGAAAACAAGTAAAAGCATCGTGGTATTTCACTCACGACGGTTCTTTAACAAAACAAACATATGATGAGATTTCAAATAGCGGTAAATATTTACCGTCATTGTTTAACGTCGGAGATGAAAAATAGCGACGTCTATTTAAAATTTAAAAGCAGAAAAAAGCAAATATCAAAGAATTTACCATTTCATCTTGCTACTGTTCAATAATATTGGCATCAAGCTTGGGATTTTCTTCCTCCAAAACAAGGGGTCTCACATTAGTGGCACTAGAGCAGCTTGCTTTGTCAGACATTGGACTTTTTGGGCTTTGCTCTTGAGGCAGTAAAGGAATTGGGGTACTTGGGGTACTTGAATTGTTTCAACATATATTCCCTCTCTGCTTTGACTGCCTCCAAAACACTTTCCTTTGCCCTAGCCTTAATCCTCAAGGTCTCTTCTTTGACTGCTTCCATAACATTTTCCTTCAATTTGTCGGCAAATTTTACTCTTCGCTGTCTCGGAAAATTGAAGAATTGACTTGGGGAAACCCCAGCTCCAATACCTCTGACTCTCCCACCATGCTTGGGGGTTCCCCAAGCCAAAGTCAAAACATCATTGCTCCCAGAGACAGTCAGAGTGCCCTCGGAGACTTTTAAAAAAAAAAATCATCCTAAAAGAGAGAGAGAGAGAGAGAATTTTAGTGAGTGAATAGATTGTAAAATAGATAAGATTGGTGCTTCGATTATGAAGAGGAACATAGCTCACATTGGTAAGATTTCATATCTCTTGGGATCTCATTTTAATTTCTCTGTGACGATGGTTTTCTGTATAAACCATCGTGGTTTTTCTCAATTCTTGTCATTTTGTTGATCTACCATCGTATGCTACCAAAATCCAAGGAATTTTTTTTATTATTTAAAAAAAGCAATAAAAATCAAGACTACAGCTTACAGATAAGGGCAGTCGTATAAAATAAATAAATACGACGGTACTTTTCACTTAACAACGTGGTAAAATAATATTATACGACACTCGTTGAACAAATCGACGTGGTTATTACTAACTTATACAAACTGTCGTTGTGTACTAACTTAATACGTCTTGATATAGTAAAAATACGACTTGGATATTATTGAATTTAGATGTTGTTATTTATGCTTCTGGTGTCGTGGTTCTCTACTACTCTATACGACAGTAGTGTTATAGATACCGTTATAGTACACTCTCACATAATACGTCGATAAATTTTCTTTACCATCGTGGTATGGCTTTAATACGGTGCTATTTCGTAATATACCAAAGTGGATTCCATTAAAATTATACGAGCTGATTAAGAACAATTGGTCTTGTTTATTTAGGAGTTAACACGGCTGCTGTTTTGGTAAACCGTCGTCTTTACTTTCTATGTCAATGGCTTCATACCTTCTGTCGTTGTTTTGGGGGGTCAAAGTTTAATTATGAAGAAAACCTGTTTAATAAGACGACGTTTTTTTTAGTTGGGTGCGTCGTGTTTTAGAAATACCCAAGTGGATCTCGAATTTTTAGGTGTTTAAGTTACTTATCCACGACAGTTTTCTGTTACCGTCGTCTTTCTAAACACAACAACGGTATTTTGTTCTATCGTCGTTGTTTTCTGGTTGTCTTTTTTCATTTTTCTAGTAGCGGTTGGACTTTCCGGCGTATAGTAAAGGTCCGGGTACCTTTGGTCGGGTGTGCCATAGGCCCTTGGTGGGGCAATCTACGCACGTAGGACTTAGTTCAGCCACACGAGTATTGGGGATTTTGTTGTGCGTGTTTGGGAGCCCAGTCCCCCAGTTTGACGGCTCGTTCCTTAGCCACCTGGTCAATTGAGGATTCCTCCATGTGGTCTAGTCAAACTATCCCCGTGTTGGATTGTTTTCCCCCGATACATGATGTGCACTATGATATGTACCTCCTCGGCACTTGGATAATTGGATATGTCGGAAGCTGGGCACCCTTGGCAGGGTGTTTCGTAGCCCTTGGCGGGGTAGTCTGTGCGTAAGACTTAGTATAGCTGCACGAGTATTGAGGATTCTACTGTGCGTGTCTGGGAGCCCAATTCCCCAGTTGGACAGCTAGGTCCCTAGCCACATGGTTATTGAGGATTCTTCCATGTGGTCTAGTCAAACAATCCCCCCGTTAGATTGTTTTCCCCTGATACATGATGATGGTGTGGGGTGTGTGTGTGTGAGTGTATATATATGTGGGAAAATATGTGGATTCGTTTCCAGGTTGGGGTTTCTTGAGCATGTGCATGGTGAGTGCTCTTCACAGGTGTGATCGTTGTTATGATGTTTGGACAGTGTTGTTTTGCAATATACACCTTGGATAGGGTATGGTTGCAGGAAAGAAATGATTTTGGAGAAGTAATTTGAGTTTCAGAGTAAATAGTTAGTTTTAAAAGAGTTATGCATAGTACATGTGAGTTTTTACAAGGAAATCGTTTTGAGTTATAAATCGTGGGAAGAAAGAAATTTATAAAATATTTAGTTATATGCCTTGTGGAAATTGAAGTTGAGAATGAATCTAAATTTAATTGTTGGTTTTACTTGGACAATATCTGTATATTTTTCAAATTGTGATCCTTTTTAGTCTAAGAACTACGTGTGGCTTGATCCCTCTTTAAGGGTACGTAGGCAACATGGGTTAACCTAGGTGCAGCTGCAAATTGATTTGTTTGAGTTTTGTTTGATCTGTTCTAGTACATTGTATTAAAGGATTGTTTATGAGGCCGGAGGCCCATTTTCTAATTTGTGTGTGCTGGCAGTTGGTTGTTATTCTATTGACAGGTGGAAAATTTGGTAAAGTCCATTTTTTCAGGGAAGATTGCCGAAATTTAGGTAGGAGTCTCGGCCCCCCTTTTTTCCTTAGTTTTATCAAAAGGGACTATTTTAGTAAGTGCGCCCGGCATCGATTAGATGTCTGAACAACTACTGGGTCCGTCATGGATTCTGAGGTAGAATCCGGATCGGGTCCTGTCATATATATTATTAGAATTTCATTGTTAAAATAAAATTAAGTTTTAAAGTCTCAGAAAATGAGTGTGGGTATAAATATCCTTGTGCTTGCACATAATTGTTAGCCTATATGAATGTAGGGTTGAGAAGCAATGCTAGAATGATTTGATTGGATGATATTGAATGGAATAAGAGTTTTTATACCAAACATCTAATTAAAAAAAAACACAATTTTATAATAAAATCTTTTTTGGTGGTAGATGTGGATTAGGTTAGTTGGTCAGGGCAGTGAGTCCATCTCCTAATTTCAAATACCATCTCGGTAGATTAATTTAGAATTATTTAGATCATTGTTTGTATAAAATTAAAAAAATTAAAAAACTTATTTTACGGGCAATTAAAAACAAATTCTGCTATTTCCAGCCCGCATCCTATTTCCCCAACCTCTTATCTTCCTATCCATCATGTCTTTCCTCCCCCCATTATTCCTAAAATACCCTTAAGTTATGGTCACCCACCTTTGGATATAATCTAATTGTTCACCCGTTTTGTGTTTACTCCTGTGATGGAAGGGCAAAGTTCCCCACTGGCTTGAGAACCATAAACTGGTCGACAAGTCAGCTTTCTTTGGTGTGTGAGCGTGCCACTACCAGCAAAATTTCTGGCAGACTTAGTTTGGAATGGATAACTTGCGTCCCAAGTTACTGATTTCTGTAAACAAACGATTGTGAATTTGGGTGAGGAATATCTCCAAAGTAAGTTCTTTTCCTGCCTCAGACTGGTGAGGACTTCAACAATTTATCTCAGTATAGAGAGGCTGCCTTGGCCAAAATGGTTGATGGGATTTAAACTATTTTTCAGGTGGAACTGCCTTTTACAAAAAATAATAACAGTAAATACTTATGCTAGAGAAAGATGAAGAGACAGCCGGGACTTTATTTCTGTCGAGATAGAAGGTTCTGGTCTGGACTGGACTGGAGATGCCCGGGCTGGACTGGAAGCGCTTGGGCTGGATTGGACCGTTGACAATCTTGACTGCTAAGCTTCAACTTGTAAATCGATACCAAAGGCTGATTCTGGCAGAGCTTTGATGTATCTCATGCTTTTGTGAAGCTTTTGAGTGGGCAGAACTGTAGTTTTCTCAATCTGCATGGGCAGGAGTGACTGTTTTTGAGGGCTTCAGTGGGCTAGAGACTGCACTGTGAGTTTTGTTGAGGTTTTCCATATTTGGAGGAGATTCAAACCCTGCCTGTTTTGGTTTTTTGCTGAACCAAATTTGTAACGAGAGAAATCTCGTTTTTGAATGACTTGCTTCTTAAATCTGGATTTTGGGAATTCTGATCTGGAGCTGGTTTCACTTGAAATTCAAGTGGGCTTATTGGTTGATTTTGAACTTGTCTATTTGACGGTTTTCCTGTGTAGGATCTTTGTTTGATTGGGTGATGAATTTTTGTTGTGTGTCCTTTTACCCTGTTCACTCCTCTTTGTATTTATAGTGAAAGATTAATAATGGGCGGCAAATCTCTTTCAGACGATATCTCCCCCTTTTTCTTTTAAAATAAAAAGAAAGAAAGTAGGATTTTATCAGTTTTGGCAGATAGGCTTTCAAATAGATAGGCAATCACTTCCCTGTTTTTCTTGAGAAAGAACCTAATCTCTCTTCTTAATTTCAACTGCCCCTTGTGAGATTTCACTCGTGATGGTTATTTCTGGACAGCTCCCTACTTTCCTCTCTCTGAGCTCGTAGCTTGCTTATCTTTTTGGGAGAATTACCCTCTTCGTAGAGTAGAAAAAGATCTCTGATTTAATATAGATATATGTATATGTAAGAGGGATTTTTATCTTCTGATTTTTCCAAGGCTTTTTTTCAGAGCAGTTTGATGACATAAACTTTTCAATCACTTCTCTTATGACAGTTGCCATTGTTGACTTTCCTTTCATCCCAGAGATATCACGTGTGATTGTTTCTTAATTCTGGGCTTCTCCCTTTCTATCAAAATGGGGCTGTGAGGCCCAGGTTTTGGGCTGGGCTTTTCTTAGATTTTGGGCCTCACTTTCGCTGGGCTGGGTGTGTCAATTTTTAGGCCCAAACAATGCCCCCTTAAGTCTGAATCGTTTTTTTGGAACGGTTTCAGACTTAAATGACATGGCCATTAAATTGGCGCGTGGTAAATTCCTCCGTTATCCCACGTCTGCCACGCTTCCCCACTAAGCTAGCGCCCGTGTGGAGCAGTTTTTTAGTTACTAGCCTTTTATTAGCTAGTCAATATCAGATGACGCTTTGTCTTCTCCACGTCGCTGTCTTCTCTTTCCCACGTTTTCTTGGCTTCTTTAAAAGACTTTCAAAAAAACCACTGTTCCTGTTCACCTGGAAACCTAGTACTTTCAAACTTTGTTTCCCCTGAGCTTTTCTTTCGATAATTCCCTTTGCCAAAAAAGAAATCTGTCTCGCCTATCGTGACAACCTCCCTTTCAGGTTCAACATTACTGGGGCTGGGATTGATAAGCATGCGATAGAGGTTAGGAGTAAGCTTCATCCTTTTGCCCAGAAAAACCTAGATGAAAATGTCCTCCATTTGTTTGAAAACACCTTGGTGCTGGGGCCTCACTGGTTTGGTCCCGTTCCTCCCGAGATGGCAGAGTTGATGAAAAAGGATGCTGAGGCCCCTCTATGTTTCGAGAGCTCTTCCGCGCTGGCTTCTCACTCTTGGGTTAGCAAGAATTTGAGCCGTTCGTTCCCATCTAGTGAAGTGAGAAACAGTCCAGTCAAGTGGGCTGATTGGATTGACAAGCTTCTTCCTCGATTTGGGGCTCACTGGAGGCGGGTTGGAATTTATGACGCCATACTCCTATCCAGGCAATCTATCAAGAGGGATGAGAACTGTTTGCTGCTGCTCTGTGTTTCTGGAATTCTGCCAGTAACACTTTTGATTTTCGTATAGGCCCCATGGCTCCAACTCTGCTGGATATGGCTCAGATTTTTGGTTTTAGGCCTCATGGAAGACCTGTTGATGCCGTTGGTGATTATCACAGGAAGAAGGACCAGCAGAAGCTAGCCAAGCCATTCACTATTTCCCCAGCCCTGATCAACCAGAACTGCTCCTTCTCCAATTATCTCAGAAAATTTAGTGCTGAGAAGGACAAAGATCAGCAGCATATGTTGTTTCTCCTGTATTGGCTGAACAGGTTTGTTCTGCCCAATCGTTCTTCTGCAGTTCTGCTTGAGTATAGACATCTGGCAGAAGCTCTGCATAATCATACTGATGTTGGTCTTGGGCCTACAGTTCTGGCCCATCTATTCAAGAACCTGCATACCGCCACCCTGGAGTATCCGCTAAATCTGTCTGCTCCTGGTGCCTTCTGGATGATTCAGATCTGGCTGCAGGTCTATTTCCCTGAGTTAAGGTATCCAGATATAGTTCTGCCTGAGGATCAGGTTCTGGCTCAACCATTGTTGTCAGCAGAAGTCCCCAAGCGGTCAATTGATGAATACCTGATGATCTTCAGGCATTGTACCAAGAGGTCTGCAGCGCAGTGGCAAGTGGTGATCAGGAGAACCTATCCTTGGTTTCAACCTGGACATCGTCTGTTTGAGAAGGAGCCAGAAGAAGAAGCTGCCAGAACTGATTTCAGGAAGAAGTTCCTGAGTGTGACCTTACCCAGAGATCTGCCTCACGGAGGAGGAAAGCCTCCAAATTATCATTTAGGGGCGGAAGTCTACCATCCCAACTTCTGTGCAAGGCAGCTTGGCTGCCCTCAGCTCATACCCCTCAAGTCATACAGAAGCTGCAATCGGGGCTCTTCTTGGAGGGATGCAGATGACTTGGAGGTCCACAAAGATGCCAGGTGTGCAGTGAATAAGATCAACAACAATGCCGATGCCCTTTATCCTTCATGGGAATTGAACTCCTGCAGTTCTGTGGAGTTTGATGCTTGGTGGAAAGCCAGATTCCGTGATCTGCCTGCTTCTAGCACCGCACTTCAGGTCCTTTTTAAGGGCTGGGACAATTGGAATGTTCATACAGATGAGGAGACTCACAAATTCATGGTGCAGACCATCAAAGATATCAACATGCAAGTTATAGAAGGTAATCTCTCAATTCCGTCTGTTGTTGCCGATTCTGTTTTTAGTGATGATGCTAATCTTTTCTATCTGTACTCAGATCCCTCTCTGACAAAGAATATAGGCAGTCAACCAGCCCAAGGTGGAGAGGTGTTTGGTAAGTCGTGATGTTTGTTCAGTTTCTCCTGCCACTCCTCTACTGGATTGACCCTTAACTTTTGTCTTCTGCATAGTTAATTCTGTTATTGCTGCTGGGGATCTGGAGCTACCCTCCGGGGAGGGAGAAGAGGAAGAAGAAGAAGAGGAGGAAGATCAGGTAGGACAGACTCCTGTTGAGGCCACTTCTCCTGTTAAAAGAAAAAGAAAAGAAACTGCCCAGTCTGTGACTCCAGGTATTTTGACAGTTTCCTTTTTTGAGTTCTTCATAATCTGTTCTGTCGTAATCTTTAGGACTTATTTTCTGTCTGTTGCAGTTGGAAGTCCTTGTCCTCCTCTTACTAAGTCAAAAAGACTTAGAAAGAAGGTTGTAGAAGAATACGTGGCCCCGGAGGGAACTGGGGTAGTTCCTACCACCACTTCTGGTACGGATGACGATCTACGAGAGGCTTTCGAAGCTGTGGAGCAAGAAAGGGAGCTGGAAGAGCTAGAAGAAGTGGGAGAGGGGCCTCAAGAAAAAGCCAAGTCAGTGGAAGAAGAGGTGAGTCTGTATTTATATCTGGGAGTATTTGTTCCTGCTGCACTTTGATTTATTCTGTTCTGACTTCTGTGCATTTTGTAGGAGGAAATCCCTGCTGAGGTGATAGCGGAGAGCATTGCCTTGGCTCGGAAGCAGCAGGAAGATACGGGGACGAGGCTAACTAACTCAGAGGTGGCCCTCTTTGATGATCCAGAGGCGGAACATTCTACTGCTGCTCCAGCAGCTGGGGACCAAGTGGAACAATCCGGATCAGAGCCTGGGGATCAGGCAGAACAAGTGGTTCCTGCTCCTGAAACCGTAGTAGAAGTGGCTGCTGCCGTTCTGGGTTTATGGTGAGTTCTGTCCTTACTCTGTCTTTTCCCATTTTATGTGGTTTTGTTCTGTCCCTCTGTCCCTCTGACCCTCAAATCTTTACAGGTAGAAACACAAAGAACTGCTGGGACCTTGGCGGTGAGGACCACCCCTTTGCAGCCTCCGATTGTTGCTGTGAGTGTTTTTTGTACTTTTATCTTCTTCTTTTGTCTCTGCCTTGTTTTTGACTTATGCTTCCTTCGCAGATGCCTATTCATTCCCTTGCAGGTTCATCCGCCACGGCTTCTTTTGCTGACCCGGAGCTGGCAGAATTTGAAGCCATGGACCTAGATGCCCAGCTAGACAAATTGGAAAAGCTCAGCTCCCCTGTTGGCAAAATAAGGTCCAGGGCAGTGGAAGAAGCAATGGAGAGACTGAAGATCTGGCAGTCTACTGAACTAGAGCTGGATGAGGGCAAGGAGGTCTTTGACCAGCTGATGAAGGATCTGAATCTGCTGCACAGACAGAACATGGCCCCAAAACCTATCCTCGAGATGAGCCTTGTCTTGGAGAGGGATGTGCTCAACCTTCACGACTGTTATGAAGATATGAAGCCTACCTTCAAAACCTCTGAGTTCTGCAAGGCCACTCATGAAGCCAACTTGGCTGATTTTGCAAAGCAGAAGGCAGAACTGGACCAGATGGTTGTGGGGTATAAAGAAGCCAAAGCTGCTGCGGATAAATTGGAAAAACAGATTGTAGAGCTTCAAAAACAGCTGGCAGAGCGTCGGGAAGTGCAGCACAGGCTCGGGGCTGGATTGAGCTCTAAGACTAAGGCCACTTTCCTTGTGCAGAACATGGTTGCAGCTTCTAGGCCAGCCCTGGAGATTGCAGAGGCTTCGATTCATCAGGGTATCCTGCTTCAAAAGGAACTTTCTATCAAGAAGACCAATCTGCAAGAGACCCTCAGAAAATTAGGGTTTTGATTTGCTTCTCTTTTTTTTTATTTCTTGATGAACAGCATGTCATGGGGAAGGCCCTATGACTTTTTTTATTTTAAATAAAGTTTATTTTTTTGATTGATGAAATAAACAGGAACAGAAGTAGAAGTAAAAGTACAGAAGGGAACAAACTTAAAATAATTTTTAGAACAAAGGTAATCTTAAAAGAATCAAAAGATGTTCAGTGTAGCCTTATGTCTATCCCAGGGTCTGTTTGTACAGCCTGTAATCCCACATGGTTGGATAAAACTTTTTTAACCATTTGCCATTGATTGGGGCAGTATGAATTTCTCCGTCCCTATCTTGTAACCTATATGCCCCCATTCCAAGGATCTGGTTGATTATGAAAGGGCCTTCCCATGTAGGTGACCATTTTCCATAACCAGCCACATGTGTTCCAAGGGGCAGAACCGCTTTCCAGACTATCTCTCCTTCTTCAAAACTCTTGTTTTTAACTCTTTTGTTGTAAGCCCTTGATACAGCTTGTTTTCCTGCCAGGAGTTTGTTGAGAGTGTCAATTCTGGCTGCATCCAATCCTTCCAGTTCCAGCATCATGGCCTGGGAGTAGTTCTCTCCTACTAAGTTATGTTGGTGAGCAATTCTGAGGGACTAAACGGCTATCTCCATAGGCAGAATTGCATCATGGCCGTAGGTTAACGCATAGGGGGTCATGCCAGTTGCTTCTCTTTTTGAAGTTCTATATGCCCAAAGAGTTTCTGACAGCTTCTCATGCCATTGTTTTGGATTCTTCTCAAGCATTTTCCTAATAATGTTGATGATTACTTTGTTGCTTGACTCCGCCTGTCCATTGGCTTGGGCATAATAAGGAGTGGACTGGAGCAGTCTGAATTTGAATGCCTCTGCCATGTCCAGCATTTCTCTAGATATGAAAGATGATCCTCTATCAGTTGTGATTGATTCTGGGATGCCAAATCTTTGTATAATCTGTTCTTCTATGAAAATGATGATCTCTTGAGATGTAGTGGATTTAACAGCCTTGGCCTCCACCCACTTAGTGAAGTAGTCTGTGGCAACAATGATAAAGCAGTGCTGCTGGCTGCTGGCTGGATAGATCTTGCCAATAAGATCCATTGCCCATCCTCTAAAGGGCCATGGCTTTACCACTGGGTTCATGGGGACTGATGGAGCCTGCTGGACTGGACCGTGTCTTTGACAAGATTCGCACCCCTTGGAATAGTTAATGCAATCTTTCATCATGGTTGGCCAGAAGTAGCCATATCTTCTAATTAACCAGCACATTTTTCTCCCACCTTGATGCGCTCCACAGATTCCTTCATGGGTTTCCCCCATAACTTTCATGTATTCTTTCTTCCCGAGGCACCTTAAAAGCACCTCATCCTTACTCTTTCGGACCAAATCTTCATTCCACATAAGGTAGTTTAAAGCCATGATTCTGACTTTCTTCTCAGAGGGCAAAGTTGGATATCGTAGATAGGTCATGATAGGATTTCTCCAATCATCTTCAGTGATTGTGGCAGAGTTGACATCTATCTCCATCCCCCTGGCCAGAACCGATGGTAGGCTTTTCTTTCCTATCCTGATGATTCTTTGTACACAGTCTTCGGGTATTTGTATGCCTGTTGCCACCTGGGCCAATTCATTGGCTGCAAAATTTTCTTCCCTTGGGATATGTTCCCAAGTGGCTTCTCTGAATTCTGTCAGAAGATTCCTAGCTGCCACCAAGTAGACAGCCAAAGAAGGGCTTAGGCACTTGTATTCCCCAGCAATTTGTTTTAGAACCAGCATGGAATCTCCCAGAATTTCCACAGACTGGATTCCTAATTCTACCAGCATTTCCAAGCCAATGATTAAGGCCTCATATTCTGCCCTGTTGTTGGTGCATTGGAAATCTAATTGGAAAGAGTAGCAGTGTCTGATTCCAAGTGGTTCTTCCAAAACAATTCCTGCCCCGGAAGTTATATCAGTTTTTGATCCATCAAAGTATAACTTCCAAGGTGTAAGATGAACTGAGTAGATAGGATTGTTGAGGCAGGTGTGAGCTCTGGTTAATAGATCTGCATTTGCTATGTCTAAAGAGTCCATATTTTCAATCTCCTCTCCGGGATGATCTGCTAGGAAGTCTGCCACAGCTTGTCCTTTGACGGCTTTCTGAGGAACATATCTGAAGGCAAATTCTGTCAAGGCCAAGGTCCATTTTCCAATTCTGCCTCTTAGCATTGGTCTTGTTAGCATGTATTTGATCAGATCTGTTTTGGCAATGATATAGATGGTGTATGGCAGCATGTAATGTCTGAGCTTTACAGCAGTGAAGTACAAGGCTAGGCAAAGTCTTTCAATTGCAGAATATTTTCTTTCCACTTCTGTTAGAGTTCTGCTTAGGTAGTAAACCGCCTGTTCCTTTCCTTCCTTGTTATCCTGAACCAATAAACTTCCAATGGATACTTCTGATGCAGATATATAGAGCTTGAGTGGTCTGCCTCTCTTCGGTGGGGACAGAACTGGTGGATTTGAGAGGTAATGCTTGATTTCCTCAAAAGCTTGTTGGTGTTGTTCTTCCCACTTAAAGGTTTGTTCCTGTTTCAATCTTAACAAAGAAGAGAAAGGCTGGATCTTTCCTGCAGAATTGGATATAAATCTCCTTAAAAAATTAATTTTTCCTAAGAGACTTTGCAATTCCTTCTTGTTCCTAGGCGGCAAAGCTTCTATGATGGATTTTGCTTTGTTCTTGTCGATCTCTATGCCTCTTTGGTGGACCAAGAATCCTAGGAAATTTCCCGCTTGAACTCCAAAAACGCACTTCTTTGGGTTCATTTTCAGTTTATGTTGCCTCATTCTTAGGAATGCTCTTCTTAGATTTGTCATGTGGTTTCCCTCCTCTGGTGATTTGATCACAACATCATCAATATAAACTTCCAAGGAATGCCCTATCATATCGTGGAAAACAGAATTCATTGCCCTTTGATAGGTAACCCCTGCATTTCTCAAGCCAAAAGGCATTACAGTGTATTCAAAAGCACCTATATGCCCTGGACACATGAAGGCTGTCTTGTGGATGTCTTCTTCTGCCATCATGATCTGATTGTAACCTGCGTTGCCATCCATAAAAGATAGCATCTGGTTGTGGGCAGCTCCATATACTAGCATGTCTGCCATTGGCATAGGGTATTCATCCTTGGGAGAGGCTTCATTCAGGTTTCTGTAATCCACGCAGATTCTGACTGCCCCAGTTTTCCTTTTTAGAACTGGTACAATATTAGCTAGCCAATCAGCATAGATGGCAGGCCTGATGAATCCCGCTTTGAGCAGCCTTTCTATTTCTTCTTTGACTTTCAGTTCTGTGTCCATGGACATCCTTCTTCTGGCCTGTTTGACTGGAAGGTATCCCTCTTTGATTGGTAGCTTGTGTTCTACCAATTCCCTGTCTAATCCTGGCATCTCGTGATAATGCCAAGCAAAACAATCTTTGAACTCTTGTAGAAGTGCAACGAGTTCATTCTTAAGTGGTTCTTTCAACAGTGCGCTGATGAAGGTAGGCCTTGGATCCTCCCCTGTTCCCAAGTTTATTTCCTGCAAAGGATCTTCTACCTCTGGCAGAGAGTCATCCAGTGCGGCTGGTGCGAAATCTAGCACTTCTTCCTGTAGTTCCTCTTCCTCCCGGCTTTCCGTGCTTTCATGAGTGAATTCTGCCATATTGATGGCTGGATTCTGGGCAAACAACTTTCTTTCCTCCCAGTATATCAACAATCTTTTTGTAATGGACCGGATTGTTGCAGCTCGATCCTTTTCTTGTTGATTGGGACTAAACATCAGTGCTTTGGAAATTTAGAACAAAAGGTCTGTTCCAATCCTCCAAAGAATTGGTTAGACCTTCTTCAATGAGCCTCTGGGCCGTGACACCATGGGGGCGGCCGTTCTGGTTGACTCCAAAGAAAGTGAAAGGACCAAGGTCATCATGATAGTACCTTGCCTCACAACACATGGCAGAAGGTAGGAATGGCCGTGGATCGGCCTCTATTATCTCCATGTAGCTTTCTTCGTTCCATAAAGCTAACTGTTGATGAAGAGTGGAAGGAACACATAGACTCTGATGAATCCAGTCTCTGCCAAGCAGTGCATTGTAAGTGGTAGAGGTAGTATCTACCACAAAGAATGCAACCTTCAGCTTCTTGCTTCCTACCAAAACATCCACATCCAGGATCCCAAGGGTTTTGGTGATGCCCCCTGCGAAATTGGTGACGGTCAGGGTTGGGATTAAATCCTTTTCTGTTCTGCCCATTTTGCTCAGCATTCTGTAAGGCAGAAGGTTGATGGCTGCACCTCCATCTACCATAGTTTTGGGGATAGGAACACCCCCAAAGTTTGCTGTTATAAACAAGGGTCTGAGGTGGTTTGCCATTTCTTTGGTTGGTTTGGAGAAACAAAGCTGACCTGCAGCCAGCTTGTGGGTTGCTCCTTCTGTCCTGGGATTGCCTGCTTGCTGCTCTGGCATTTCTTCCGCTTCCGCCAACCTGCATTCAAAACTTTCTTGGGAAAATACGTCTCTGTCCAGAGTGCTCTTCTGTCCTTCTACCGCCCAGAACTTTTCTGGCAGAATGAACACCATATTGATGCCTAGGTCAGCACGTAACAAGTCCTCCAATTCTGCACCAAAGGCCTCAGTTTCCGCATCCAACTCTCCGTCATAATCCATCTGTTCTCCATCATATTCCTCCGTCCATTCTCCCAGTTCTTCTGTTCCGAGGAGCGCATTCTGGTCATCTGTAGATGGTTCATAATCCAGCTGCTCCTCTTCATATTCCTCAACCCAGTCTTCTTGTCCTTCTCCTGGAACAGGATCGGTCCTTTCCTCTGGTTGGGGAGTTTTAAGTAGATCTTCTGAGGCGGAGGCAGGATGGATAGAAGGTTTCTCTGAGGATTCTGCTTTCGTCAACTTCTGTGGTTGAGAGATTGCTTGTTCTGTCTGGGGAAGTATTTCTGGCTCCTTCCCTTTTTTGACAGAATTGGCCTCTGGAAGCACCTGTGCGTTTTTCTCGTTATTGAGGAATGTGCAGTACTGTCTCTGAACCCTCCTCCTTTGGGTTCTTGTTAGCTCCATTGTTGGTCTGCCATTCTTTCCGACAGAATACCACCTGCCTTTAATGATGGCCGCCAAAGGTTTGTCACTTCCGGGCACTTTTATTGATATTTCCTCCTTGGGCTGCTTAGTCATTCTTCTGCTGGATTGGACAAGCCTAGGGTAGTTTCTCTGTCTGGCCCTATCATGGGGCGTGGTTCCGATCCGGTCAAAAACACTTGGAGTGGGCAGCTCCTGTTTTTCCAGGACTACTTCCAACTCAGCCTCACACTTGCACCTGCTGCAGAGCACTATTCCAGCTGAAATGGTTGCTTTTGGTCTTTCCATAGTCTCTTTTGAAACTATTCTGCTTCTACTGGAGCCAGTCTGTATAGCTGGTCTGTCCTTCTTTCGTTCTGGCCAATTTAGGTTGACCATGTTAACTTGTGGCAGGGGAAAAGGATCTGTGGTGAAGGATGGAGGTTTTTCTGCTAGCTTCAGCCTTCCTGCTGTTATCCCT